GGGGAAAAGAAAACGAAAATCTGACTCATGATTAAGGAAGTTATTGAGTCAAGGGGACGACAAAAAAAAAAAGACAAAGAGAAGTTATTGAGTACTGAGTTCATGAAAAAGCAACAAGAACAAAGTTATTATCAATTTGATAGAAGTTATCATTAGATTGGTGATACTATGTCGTCCCAAACGAACTAATTTGAAAGATGAAGATATTCTCCTGTATAAAGTCTTTCCCAGTATTCACTTTTCAAAACTCAGAATCGAAGGAAAACGCTCTTAGTTCAGTTCAGCAGAACAGACATTTGGACGTCAAATTACTCCTGAATCTTAAGTACTGTATATTCAATTAATTTCAAACGATATACATTACAATCTCCAACACATTGCTTGATGTAGTTTTATTAAAAAAAAAAACACATTGCGTGATTTGTATAGAAAATAAAACAGGGGATTGCATGCATTTTCTATCATATATTTCAGTGTTCAATTACTATGGCGGAAAAATATATAATGTCCCCAACTATATCACCTTTGGTTTTTAACGGTTCGTTTAAATTAGTACCACTATTCATGTGAAAAAGTATGCCTCCTTGAAAGATCACATAAATGATTTCAACATTTTTCTTTTTTAAAGGTTAAAACTAAAATAAAGAGGTAAAAGAAGTACTCATGAGTACTACTCTCTCCCAACTTCATCATGATGATGATCAACATCATCCACCATTATGCCTGTAATACAACTATGCATAGTGAGTCCAACTTGTTATTATCATCCACATTTAATCCTCTTCTCCTTGGACCTTAGTCTACCACCTTCTTTCACATGTTCCCACTCTATCCTTGTTCATCATAATTTATAATTTTTTTCTTTTTGTTAAAAATATCCTTATATATAAATATGAATCAGTCTTATCTATATATTAAATTATTAAAAAAAATTTCATATGGCATTTAGATAAAACTATTTAGCTGATATAGAAATTTACACAAATACTCTTCTGATGCAGCAATTTCAATGAAATTTTTTGTTATAAATATAAATTCGGAAAAAACATGTTGGTCAGATAAATTGTACTCCCTCCGTATTTTGTTAAGTGTCGTTTTAGAGTGTTGCACATATATTAAGAAAAACTAGTGAAAGACTACACTGACCTCATACAAAACAACAAATTACGATTGTATTTTAAAAACACGAAGGGTCTACCAAACACAGTCAAACAAAATGAATAATGAAAACCGTTATTTTGATTTAAACATTTCACCTACTAATAATGAAAACCGTTATTTTGATTTGAATATCATTCCAGTAATTAGTGAATATCATGATTTTGAATATGGAAGGTTGAGAGACGAAGGTGCCTCTGTTTTTGGGGCTGAGGAATTTGCGGCTGAGGAAGCAAATCTCGATAGTGAAGATGTCGACGTAACAATTGTAGAGTCTTCTGAAAGTACAATTGTACTTGATCTAAACGTGAATCCAGCAGAAGATAACTCTGAAATATTAGAGTTAGATGTTCATCAGCTGTATGAAGAAACTCAATATCCTTTCATTGGAGACACAGGTAATTCTGTCGTTTTTATCTTATTCTTTATTTTAGGAATCTTGATGTCACATTGTATATTCATTCATACTCTGTGATAACTTCATTTTGGGACAGGAACAAATGAAGACCATGACACCGAAGACCCTTTTGTTGGAGAACAAGGTATTTATATGTTCTTAAACTCGATGTGTTGTTTAGTTAAATAAACACAGGTTATTATGTCGTAAATGTTTTCTTCTTTATAAAAAAACCATGATCTAACAGTGAATTTGCATATTTGGTGATCATTTCATTTTGGAACAGGAGCTCACGAAAACCATGATATCCAAGCCCCTTTTGTTGGAGAACAAGGTAGTCAAAATCAATTCAATAGCGATCAAGGTATGTATATTTTTAACCTGGAACATAGACTTAGTATTTTTTAAAGTTAGCAATATCAATAGCATTGTTTTCTGATGATGCATATGTCTACTTATAAAACTAAAATTATTTGGAATAGGACCTAATGCAATTGGTAGCTCTACAAGTAAGAAGAACTACACTAATCATCATAGATGGGCAGTATATAATGCTTTGCTTGAAAGGAGTGTTAGAGGGAAATTAGGTAGAACGACAGTTAAAGAAGTAGCGAATTTGCATTCCATGGATATTAGAACTGTTCAGCGAATTTGGAAACAAGCAAAGGATACTCCAGCTGGTGCATTGGTTGATGTTTCTCAAAGAAGGAAGAATAGATGTGGTCGCAAGAGGATTCAGATAGACGTCCAACGTGTTTTGGACACTCCTCTACATCGACAGACAACTTTGAGGACACTAGCTGAAGCTCTAGGAGTTAGTCACTCAATCCTATATAAGAGGGTGAAAGAAGGTTTGATGAGGCGGCATTCTAATTCTCTCAAACCACATCTAAAAGAAGAGAATAAGGTGGCAAGGCTAAGGTTTTGCATGAAGATGTTGGACCCTCTAAGCTTGAGTCATGAACCACAATTTATTGATATGTATAACATTGTACATATTGATGAAAAGTGGTTCTACATGACCAAGAAAACCCAGAACTACAACCTTTTACCTGAAGAAGATGATCCTATAAGGACATGTCAAAGCAAGAATTTTATTGGGAAAGTCATGATGCTAGTTGCAATGGCTAGACCAAGGTTCAATGCTGATGGAGTTGAAACTTTCTCTGGAAAGATAGGAGTGTTTCCTTTTGTCAAACTTCAGCCTGCTCAAAGAAGGAGTAGAAATAGAGAAGCTGGGACAATGGAGATGAAACCAGTTACTTCCGTTAAGAGAGAGGATGTTAGAAAAATGTTGCTGGAAGATGTTATACCTAAGATTCGTGAGAAGTGGCCTGTTGAAGATGAAGGAAAAATAAATTTTATTCAACAGGATAACGCTAGAACCCATGTGGCTCCAACTGATACAGATTTTCAACAACAAGCTTCACAAAACGGATTTGATATCAGACTCATGTGTCAACCGCCTAATTCACCGGATATGAATGTTCTGGATCTTGGTTTCTTTAGTGCAATACAAGCACTACAACATCAGGTTTGTCCTAAAAACACAGAACAACTTATACATGCAGTCAATACAGCTTTTGAAGAGTATCCAGCTAGGAGGATAAACCACATCTTCTTAACTCTGCAACTCTGCGTGCAAGAGACAATGAGGATTGGAGGATCTAATAATTACAAGATCCCACACATAAAGAAAGAAGCCTTGGAACGAGAGCGCCTGCTTCCAAGACAAATCAAATGTGATCCTTCCATTGTAAACAATGTGCTAAATCAATTAAGAGATTAAGGTTAGTTGTCGTTTTGATAAGGTTGATAACTGTGTTGATAAGGTTTTAGTTTCAGTCATGCGGTTTACCATTTTTGATTAATTCATTGCTATCTTATTGGATGTTGTAGGTTTATGTGGAGAAAACTTTAAAGCACGTTGCTACATACCGACCTGAGCATCTTGAGAACACTAACAAAGGTCAGATTGTTTTACTTTATTTTATCTGTATTTTTTAGTCATTTGTACTCTGTAGATAGTGTAAACTCGTAGCAGCATGACTATAATTTTTATTGATGCTCTAAAAAAAAACAACATAATTAAAAACAGGAGAACTAGTAAATGTAATAGAGTAGACTGAAGTTTTAAATTTTATAAAAGCAAAAGGGATATCCATGACTAGAATTTTATTGATGCTCCAAAAAGAAGAAAAACAACATAATTAGAAACATAAGTACTAGTCATTTAAGATTTTTTAATAGCAGAAGGACAATAAACTTTAAGAATCTCCATTATCAGATCTTGAATCTCGTTATCATGATGTGGTTCTTCTTCTTCATTGCTTGGTATGTTTAGATCAAAATCATGAACAAATTTGGCATTGACTTCAGGTTGAATTTCTACTTCCTTGGTCGCTTGAATATCATCTTTGTTGGGGAGTTCGTTGAGGTCAAACGTATGCACTACTTTGATGCTGGAATTTTCGGTTTGAACATCATTGAAGATTTTTTCATCTTCTACTTTCAATGTTTTTCTGAAGAGATTTACCATATTCGTTTGGACGATAGATAGTAAGAATATTTATGTATTCATTTTGTTTGACTGTGTTTGGTAGACCCTTTATATTTTTATTAGTATAAATATTTGTGTTTTATTAATTGAGGGCTAATATGGGAAATTATTAGCATAAGAGAGTATTAATTATTCAAAACGACATTTAAAATTAACAAAAAAAACTCTAAAACGACACTTAAAAAAATACGGAGGGAGTATATGAAGAACATTTATATCTTAAAAATCAATTTTTGACCTGAACCAATCAATAAAAGTATAAAACTAATTACAATATAAGAAGGTTTTAGCAGATCAAAGTGAAACAAAATGGTGGGGAGATGGTGTTTAAACTGTTAAGTCTCTCACACGTGTGTGTGGAGATGTAATATGATTGGACGAGGGTGGTGACTGGCGTTACTTTATAATTGGTTGAATAATATACATAACGTGATCCACCTGTTCCCCTATCCCAATTTTCCGTTTTTCTTACTGGTTGCCAAACATGAGAGAATACTTTTCCGATCTTTGCATTACGAGAATCATCCACCTTGTCTTTGAAAATATACTTAGCTAGAAACAACAATACAAAATATCATTAAACGAAAATTTTCATGGCAAATGATCGAATAGATGAAAATATTTTAGCTGAATCCAATGGTCGAATAAATACTTTTAGGTTATTTCAATGCAGCAAAATAATTTTTTTTTTTTTTAATGTGGTCTTGCTGTGATATTAACAAGAAAACCGACCAAGGGAAAGACAAAGAGAAAGAAGATAGTTTTTTTCATTCATTATCTTTGTTCTTTTAATACCAAATTTAGCATTTATACATTTCAAATACAGATCCTGAATTGAGATTTGGGTTAGAACCAGAAGAGATGAACGTGATGATGAGGACGATGATGATGCCATTTCAAATTCAGAAATATTCACATTCTCACATGTGGAAACTCATCTTTTTATGGCTTCATCAGCATTCCTTTGATATATTCCAAAACTCCGTCTACATCTACCGTCCAAGCCACCGATACTGGTGAATATCCAACCCATGGATTGCTCCCATTCCATCTGCAATCCAATTCAAAACCCGCCATTTTAGAGAAACAGGTTTTAAAGATTCAAAGAGAAAGTTTTTATTTTTACGTGAAGAACAAAGTTATAAATAAAAACCTCTTGAGGCCTTGATCCATGAGCGTGTGGCCAATGCATATTCCTTGAGTCTCCACCCTAACAACACCTTTCTTATATGTGAATAGATCAGGCCTTACTACAGCAACAAAGCTGACCGGGTCGTGGAGGTACACTCCTGAAACCACCAACGAAAAAAAAAAACTCTTTTTCAATCAAAGCAGCAAAATTTCGAAACCATGTTTGATCACAGTGTCTTGCTTATTACCGTAAACACCATCAGATTTGACATGCCAATCTCTGTAGAATTTACACATGTCGCTTAACAATGTTGCGTGTTTCCCCTTGGAGTTACGCAGCGCCAAGAGGTCATCATCTGAAAACAGGTAAGCAATAGGGTTATAATGCGATATCTGGAATGTTGAAGGAGATGGAGGAAGAAGAAGAAAGCTTCTTCACCTGTTAGTTTAAGTTGAGTTGTGATGTTAATCCCAACAACAGTGATATCAGCTCCAGATGTGAACACGATATCTGCTGCTTCAGGGTCACCATATATCTGCATATAGAGGAGCAGAGGCCACAGAAATGAAACCACCATTTTCATTTCATTATACAGAAGATTCAAGAAACAGGTTAGGGAGGGGTTATACATTTGCCTCAGCTGCTGGATTGACATTTCCCAAAGCAAAGAAGGCTCCACCAAGTATAACAATTTTCTTCACCTTACTCGCAAATGAACTATCCCGTTTAATGGCCTGAAAAGAAAAAACTTGTCATGGTCAAACACATAATAAATTTCAAGATTCAAGAAAGGAGTCATGATTCTTACAATTGCGAGGTTGGTTAGAGGACCGAGGGCGAGAATGGTGACTTCACCAGGATATTCTGAGACCTTTTCAACTAGAAACTCAGCTGCACTTTTCTCACATTTCTCTGAACTCGGAAGAGGAACAGAGACATCTCCTAGCCCATTGGTACCGTGCACGAAATCAGCAACACGAGGAATTCCACCCTAAACCAACACAAACAAAGGCAGAATTCGAGCTAAAGTCACAACGTGTTGACTTTGTTTCATAATCAAAGATCTAACAATTTCCAATGGCATCAATTAGGTTCGATCCTTATGAGAAAGAGAAGAAAGATTGTACCTTTACAGGTTCTGAACATCCTTCTGCAACAGGAACATCAGGGAAGCCAGCAATCTCACACTGTTCTTTTGCAAAAACGGACAAACGAAAAGAGATCACTGACACATTCCAAAACATTTTCGAAGAAGCATTGTACATACTTCGGTGATGCATTGTACATACCAGGAGTAAGGCGTTGCGTGTAGCATCTTGTGTTGAAACGTTACCAAACACAGTAGTCAGCCCCAATATTTCCAGCTCCGGTGTTTGAAACGCCATCAGTATCGCCATGCTATCATCTAACCACACGTATATAATAATGAAGTAATGTTATAACCACTTTCTCAGATTCTCAAATATACTTCGTTTTTCTATACAACTTGAGCTACTCCTATTGATCTATACAATTCAAAGAAAACTTGTTTCTATAATCGAACTCATTGCCAAAATCCAATATACTAACAAGAAAAGTTTCGCCTGACAAGTAAGCTTCCTCTTTCTATTTAACCAAGCATGGAGCTTAAAGATGCAAACTTTGCAACCGATGAGCTCAAATAAACAGATTCAAGAAATCACCAGAACTCTTAATTCAAAGGTATTGCCTGATGAGATTTCGATTCGAACAAAGTCAAATCCTACTTTAACAAGAAAAAAAGGAAACTATCATACTAAGCATCAAGATCCATTGACTACATCTCATGTGTCTGTAAAACTAATCAGGTCAATTCAGAATTCACCATGAGAAAAATAAAAAAAACAGGGAAGAAGCTCACCGATTCCTGGGTCAGTATCAATAATGAGCTTCTCACGCTTAGAAGAGAAACCCAAAACGTCGCCGTTTAAGATCCCACCGTTGCAATTTTCCATAGCAGAACCCATCTCGACGGAGACAAATTGATTAAACCCAGCAAACGAATATTAAACCCAGTGGAACTCTCCTCGTGGAAAATAGTTTCTTTCCAGATTTATATATCACGTATCTGATCAGAAAGGCCTGAGCTTTCACGAAATACCTCAAAAAGCCACAACTTTTAAAAAGGGAGGAAGAATCGAAGTGGATCAGCTACGAAATAAAACAAAAAGACTTATGGAGAGAGAGAGAGAAGAAGAAGACGTATTGCTGAGTCGTCCAGCTACGCATTTCTTATTTGTTTTTATTTTCTCCCTTTTTTTGTGGTGACAGAAGGATTTAGTTTCAATTTTAAACAAATTCAATTCAAGATCCTAACATTTTCTTCTTTCTTGAAAATATTTTTAACCTGCCAGTAGTAGTATACTATATATTTTATCTTTCACGATAAACCCTTTTCAAATGAATTTTCTTTCTTGTATCGTTCCAATTTGATCCGGTATCCCTGAAATAACTAATTCTCTGTTTCTGCAAAATATTTGAAGAAATAATGGAATTTGATATAATCTTTTTTTTTTAAATAAAAATGATTTTCTTGGTTAAAATGTAGGTTTGGTGGGGTTCGGACTATGGACCATTTGGTGAAGAAACGTTTATATCAATTAAAAGGAATCAATTTTTTTTTTAAAAAAAAGGGATCCATAGAATAATAAGTAAGTTGGAATATGAAAAACAAACAATTATTGGAGTTGGAAGTTCGTTGGAAGGAACCCCTTTTTGTAAAGATGTCAACTTAAGTTATGGCACCAACGTCGAGTTGACTAGAACGCAGTTTGTTCACGCAATTACCCGTTTTCCGTTAGAACTTCTACCTTTATAATTTTCACTAAAAAAATATTTCATAAATTAAAGCCCAATAGTTCTTGGGCCTTAACTGAAATCCCAACGCCCCTATATTTCCACTTCCTTTTGGTTTAGGAATATTTTCCCCTACATGGCTACATATCTATCTACACTCGTAGCCTTTTTTACGTTAACCCCTTAAATATATATAAGGGTTCATAAAGAGAAATTTGACCAAGAAGTAGTCCTTGTAGAATAAACAATAAACCCGATAACGGTTTAAATAGACTTTACTAGAAAGCAGAACTAATGGTACCTCGACTCTGAAAGCACCAAATCTTGGGATATATATTACATGCCCAAGTCCAACCAGATTTTTTTTAAAGAAACAATCCAATATTTGTGGTATAATCAAACCATGGATATAACATAAAATCCCTCAAATTCTCAAACTAATCTCACGTTTCTAACATAAACGCGTCTTCATAACACCTCAAGTCTAATAAAACACTTATGGGAAAAAGAAAATCGCAAAAGAAATTCTTGCCGACAAACAAAAAAATCAATAATGAAGGGTACATGTCAAAAAGAAGTCATAAACAAACAAACTGAAAGTAAAGTGGGAACATGGGAAGGACGAGAATCTTGGCGGCCGAAACTCGGTTTATGTCAATTGTTAATGTTACCCCAACCTTCTCCATTATCTCTATTATTTTCCTCGTTTATCATTATCATACATATGTATAAAACAATTTTTTCTTGTTAAAATCCCGTACACGCTGTCAAAAATGGCTTTTCTTTGTAAGAGAGCTAAAAGGTATGTCAACAAAAAAATTGTTCAACTCAACCAACAACCATTTTATACGGTTAATTTGTCTTGAAGGCTACAGGCGAATCATTGAATCCGTGAACTCAGAAGTCAAAAATTACAAGATCGACATTTCCACGGTGGATTGGACGAGACCGTGACTAAACCACTCACAAGTCACAATATATCTATCATACGAAGCTTAATAGAATATAATGCATTCTAACTTACAATGCTAACATAGTAAATTATATTAGTAGCCTATATGTTTCTTCTAAAACCCTTAGGATCCAGTATGATTTGGATCATTGGATGTCGTAAGATCTTTAGAATGCACCATACAATTTTTTAAGTGACACTAACCAAATTTCTTATAACGTAGTAGTGCTTATTCATTTACTCAATATCGACGATTCTCTCTAACGGTTTCATGGAACAACCGATGGATGCAGGCATGCAGCCATGCATGCAGACAAAAATACTGCATCAACAACTCTTTTAGATATTATAGTAGCATATATACTCTATTATTATCTGAGGTTGTTGTTTACATCAATATCCCTTAGAAGAAGCGATTTGTCTAATCACAAAAATCATATTCCTAACTCCTAATAACTATTCAAGATATTTTAAAAAAAAAAGACACATGAGGATTAAAAATTTATAAAGTATGATTGATCCTGCGATAAAGATCCTAGTCACTTTGACAAAGATTTGGAGTAAATGCAACTTGCTATCAGTGATTATGATAAAAACTCTTATGATAACCAACAAATGTAAAACAAGATACAAACATCATCCAAGTTTGGGCAAATTTAGACATTGGAGAGGTATCTGAATATATTTTTTTTATAAAAAGGAGAGAGAGAGAAGGATAAGATAGAGAGAGAGCGTACTAGTGGACGGAAAGAGAAGCTAAAGACTTTTCACATCTTTTTCTTTGCACGCATTTCTTTTTTTAATATTTTTTTTTGTGAATCCCTCATACACATTGCAACACATTTCACAAAAATATACTCGCTCTGTTTAGAATTATTTGATATTTTAGAAGATTTTTTTTTTCATAATTATTTGATGTTCTCACTTTTCAATGCAAAATTTAATGAATTTTTATAGTTTTTAACCTTTTATATTTTGCAGATTGTCTTTTTATTGGCTGAATAATATTTAAATGGATTATAAATAATATTTTTAGTATAGGAAAAATAAAAATTAAATGAATCTTTAAACTGTATGCAAAAACCTTAAACATCAAATAATTCTGAACAGAAGGAGTATAAAATATATAAACATCACTTCATTTTCATTTCTTGGTAAATTTCTAAAGAATTTCAAATTTCTAAAGGATGTTACAAAAAGTACCAACGCATTAATGTTTAATTGAAGTCATCAAGTCACTGTGAAATCTCTCAATTCATCCAATCTCTTTACTACAATTTTAGCTTTTGGAATTGTTGTTTCTCCAGAGATAAATTAATAGACCCATTTGAAACGCTATTGAATTTGGTTGCAGATTCCTAGTTTTCTTTTACCAAGGTATCAACACGGTTTCGATAACATTATATATTGGCACCACCAAACAAAAGTAACAACCATTACAAAAAAAAAAAAAAATCAGTGGGGTCTGTGTAATTGGAACTCTGAATTTTTTTGGAAAAAATATCATAGACTATATAATTAAAAAATAGAAGAATGATTTATTAAATTTTGTGCATTCATCATCATTTCGCCGTTGTTTTCTCTGAATTTTTTTTTGTAGTATGATATAAATATTTCTCTTTCTCTCTGCGCGTTTCACCCTTTATAGAAAAATCACTGAATCTTTCTTCTTCTTCTCCAAAAACAGGTTCAACAAATCTCTCTCTCTCTCTCTCTCTCCTCTGCTCCTTCTTTTTAATTATTTTCTCCAATCTTTTCGTCATTTCTGCTCTTTCTTGCTTTCTCATATTTGGTTGCCGAGAAAACGCAGGAAAATTTCTGCAGAGACTCGGTGACCAAAACATCAGATTTTTAAATTTCACTCTTCAAAAAAAAAATTCTGCATATTCCTAACCTCGTTGCTTGTCTTTTCTCTTCAGACGAACCTAATTTGGGTCAAATTTCTCGAGTTTTCTTTGAGATCTATCGTCGAAACGAAGCTTTTATATATATAATTTAATGGCGGAAGAACATCGATGTCAGGCGCCGGAAGGTCACCGTCTCTGTGTCAACAATTGCGGTTTCTTCGGAAGCTCAGCCACCATGAATCTCTGCTCCAATTGCTACGGCGATCTCTGCCTCGAGAAACAACAGCAAGCCTCCATGAAATCAACCGTCGAATCCTCTCTCTCCGTCGCATCTCCTCCGTCGCCGGAGATCGAGTCCATCCCCGCGACGATCTCACCCGTCCTCGATAATTACGCCGCGGAATTACAGATCCTGGCGACGGAGAAACCGATTCCGCAGATTCCGACGGAGCAGCCGCAGCAGCAACGGCCGAATCGATGCACCGTGTGCAGAAAACGGGTCGGGTTGACCGGATTCATGTGCCGGTGCGGGACGACTTTCTGTGGGACCCATAGGTACCCGGAGGTTCACGGATGCACGTTCGATTTCAAATCCGCCGGGCGCGAGGAGATCGCGAAGGCGAATCCGTTGGTCGTAGCCGCGAAGCTCCAGAAAATATGATGATCCGAATCCGAATCCGAACCCGTTGGGTTATACGTTGACCCGGTTCATCTTCGTCTCTCTCTTTTATCTCTCTCCGCGTTTTACTTACCGAGGAAAATCACACGATGGTCTCGGTGAATCTCAGCCGTTCATCATGTTTAAAACATATTATACTTTGTATTACGGACACGTGTTACGTGGTAAAGGTTGAGACGGTTTCGTTCATGTTTTCAATTATTTTCCGTTTTTTCTTCCCGGAAGAAATTAGAAGTGTTATAATTGTGTGGCTTTTGGCTTGTAAAAAAAGAAGATTTTTCTTTTGAGATATGAAGAAAATATATAAGATTGTGTCTCGCTTTTTAATCTTCTTTGTTTACAAAAAATGCCGACAGCAGAAAGATGGTTTCGTGCAATTGAAAGAAAGAAAGATTCTCAAACCGGTTAGCTTTTGGGTTGGAAATTCAGTGACATGAGGCCCAAAGTGTTTGTTTATGATAAAGATCAAAAGGGGCCTTAGGCCAATCGGCTTTTAACTAAAATTGGAGTTTGGACAAAGAGATTTGTTTTGAAAAGAAGAAGTTTATGGCTTCAGATTAATCCAGTAATAAAAACTTGAGCTACGTCCAGAGGCTCATGGTTTGAGTCTTTGAGACTATAGCGAGTAATGTCATTTTGTCTTCGCCGTACTCAAGTGGTATAGAAAAATACCAAGGTACGATATTGTAGTTCTTAAGATTGTGTTTATCAATCTAAGGTTGTTGCTTTATGGATTTTTGATTTTTCATATGCTGATTACTTGATTAGTGAACTGAAGAACTAATATTGGTTTAACTGAGCAAGTTTTTTTTTTTTTTATAATTAGGAAGTTCTAGACCTATACATTTCTTTAGGTTATATCTATTTAAATTTAAACCAGTCTTTAATAAGTCACCCGTCTTTAATAATTTATCTGTTTCAGCTGCCATTTGATCCTGAGACCTCTTGGATTACCCATGATACCTTTTCAGTCCAGTTATCGACCTCTGCTAGTTGAGCAAGTTGAGAAAGAAGTTTTATAAAGAAAATAAATATCGAATTCATTAGAGCTCTTCAAAATCAATCAACAAGCATACATTGAAAGTTCTCAATAAGCTAGATTAGTGTTTGACCTATCAAAGATTCAAAAACAAAATAAAATACTTGTATAAAATGTCTTTTCATATTTATACGGCCACTGATCGATAGAGAAGGCGACTGTTTTTTCGTCAAACAGTTATTAATCAGCTGACTATATAAAGAAATAAACATTTACTCCTTTCTACATATAGTTTGGTTCCAAAATAAGGTGAATATTTCATATATATGATATGTTGAGTTGTATATATATTGCATTGTTAGCAAGCTCGGTGTAGTTTTCACGGGTTAAAGAAGTAGACTTAACTCTACAATAAAGGTTGTCTCAGTCTACATGGTAAACAAGATCGATCTTTTTCATCTCAAAGAGTAACATATTTTCTATCTCAACTAAACACAATTTCGAATTTACAGAGTTATCTATTTAAAAAAAAAAATAGATAATAAACCGTATATCTATATTCGAGAGAAAACGTTAAAAGATTACCTACAAAGATGATAGTGATCATCAGATGTGGTGGAACATCGTCTATATGTGATATAGAAGTGTGTTTGTTTTGAGTTTTTTTGGTTCTACCATGACATCATACTACGGCAAAGAAATTACACCACGATAATCTCTCTCTTTTGTTGCTCAATCGAAATTCATCATTTTGTTTTTGTTGACAATTTGAGTTTCCTCTTCTTTTTCTTTTTCCTTTATCACTAGTTATAAACCTTTTATATACTATCTCAAGAAGCTCTTTTAGAGCCTGAGATCTATCTGTTTTAGATTTCCCTACATGGCTACATGCGTATATGAAAACCCGACATTCATTCGTTCAACCCTTAAAAATCAAATTTGAGCATGGCCATTTATTAGCTAGAGTCAAAACCAAAGGAAAAAAAAATATTGAAATCAAAACTATTAGGGGCACATTTTAAAAGCAAAACTATAAAAGCAGCATACAACCAAAATTATAGGTGGTGTTTAATGATAAATTAAAAAGATACGGGACAGTATATCAAACCAGACAAGACTCAGGGACAGTATACTAAATAATCTTCCAAAGTCTTCTTCTTTTGTTTGATTCTCATTCTCATTCTGACTTAACACTTTTGTACCTTTTTCGCTTCAATTTCACGCCTTTTCCTAAATTCGATTGCTTTGCTGGATCATCATCATTCCTCATCCTCAAAATTCGTCTCTCCGTCTCTCTTACATCGTTTTTATTTTCATTTCCGAAAAAAAATTCCTGATTTCTCCGATGAGATCTCCAGGAAAGCCGATGTCACCTTCTCCGACGGATACTTCAATGGCCATAGTGACTTTCGATAAGTCCACTACTCAGTACTCTTCGTCTCCGTCGCCGCCACATTCACTTGATCATTCCAGTGAATCTGAGGAAGACGATAAATGTAGACTCGAGAGCAGGAGGAACAAGATTCCGGCGAAAGAAGAAGCAAAGGCTGAGGAAACTCCATCTCCGATTGTGGTAGCTCACAATCACAATCACAATCGCTCTGTGAAAGAATTCGTTACTCCTGTGGTGACGACGAGGAAGAGTGCACGAGTGGGTTCCGGAAGAGGCAATGGACAACGATCAGGAGCTGTTTTGGCTATCCTGAGGAGATCCAAGAGAGAGGAGGTAGTAAAGTATTCAGCTTTAGGGTTTCGGCTAAGTGAGGTCGTTCTGGCTTTGATTTCTTTCTCAGTCATGGCTGCTGATAAAACCCAAGGTTGGAGTGGCGATTCTTTCGATCGTTACAAGGAGTATAGGTATCTTCTTCTTTTTCTCAGATGGTGATGTTCTTGAATCTGGGTTCGGGGTTTAGTGTCAGGGTTTAGGGGTTTGAATTGTTTGAAGCTGAATCACCATTGTTGGGTATCTGTTAAGCAATCTGGGTACATGTGAACTGTCTTCAACGCTTGCTTGGTTGAATCTGTAACTTCTGGAAAAAAAGTTTGGATCTTTTTGTATGCAATCACATGAGCTATGGAGTGTATGTTTTGGTTGAATTTGCTGAAGGTCTTAGGCAGTAAAATTCGGTTTTAAGTTTCAATTTTATATTTGGCTGTCTTTCTCCAACGCTTGCAATCAGTTTTATTATGTTTTTGATTTTGATACTAAAGTGACATCTATTGTTTAATCTTCTGATATGGTGACAGGTTTTGTCTGTCTATGAACGTGGTTGCTTTTGTATATTCTGCTTTTCAAGCATGTGACTTAGCGTACTATCTTGTGAAAGAGAAGCACTTGATCAACCACCACCTTCGACCTCTGTTTGAGTTCATCATAGATCAGGCAAGTCATTAACTTACTATCATTTGCCATTCTAAAGGTCCTTATATTGCATTCTCTATGGTATTGTTACTTTCATTCTTCTAGTCTAGGATCTACTTGGGCTGCATCTTGATGTTGAAAAGAATTGGTTATTAATAATTCCTGAAACATTTTGACTTGCACTTTCAGCTGGTGTTACCCTGTCTCCTGTGAGGCAAAGAAAAACACTTTGTGGTTAAAGTCCAATAGTTGTTGAACACTTACCAACTTTTCTTTTTGTTTCTTTTTTCCGTTATATAGCATTGGTGAATGTGAGTGTAATACTTGTTTAACCAAAGTACTCCCTCCATTACACAACTGAAATCTCCTATATGTTTTGTTTTTCAAACTCTCTTAAATCTCAGCAAATGCAATTCACAGCTACTTAGTTATAAGTTTGTGTACTGATTTAAGAAGAGTAGTTGCTTGTTTCTTGTGTTTGCTATCAGGTGCTTGCATATCTGCTTATATCTGCCTCAACCGCTGCAGTTACTCGTGTTGACGACTGGGTATCAAACTGGGGAAAAGACGAATTCACGGAGATGGCTAGTGCCTCGATTGCTATGTCCTTCTTGGCCTTCCTTGCATTTGCTTTCAGTTCCCTCATATCAGGCTATAACCTCTTTAACCAAGACTCTTTCTGATCGTCCCCATTTTTTGTACAGTTGTCCCAGACCCAAGAAAACACTCCTTGTGTGAATGTATTTATATATTCTTAGAAATAAAGATCAGTACATCTTAGCATTGTAATTATTATTCTATTTATGAGATTTTGTCGACTATAAAGGATTCAAGACACTGTAATATTTGAGGTTGATGAGCATAAAGATCTCTTTTAATTATTCTGTTGTCAACAGCGTTACAAAGTGTAGATACAGCTTACATGTAATCTCTTAATTTAAGAAGAAGAGAATATGAAATAAATGGAAACTGCAATAATTACTCAATATCAAATCATTATGTCAATGATTTCCTTTTCAACTCCATCACAATCGCAACCAATTCTATACAGAACTATACATATCTTAGATTCTCCTTCCTTCAAGATGGGTTTGGAAAATGAAAACTTGAACCATTCGGTTAAACTGAACCACAAGCTGAACCAGACAAGGTTTCAAGAAACTGTGTAATAATCTTTGAGGTTCGTTAATAAGAGAGTTCATCAAGCTAAAACCTTTATATTATTATTATTCTGTTAACAAAAACGTTACAAAACCTGAAAACATCTTAGCCAACTAATCAAAAATGGAACTTAAAAAACTCGAGCAAAACACACATTTCTATTCCGGGTCTTGAGCATATGGTTTATATTATTGTTCCTCTCTCCGTGATTTCTGAATGTGATAAAGGGTATTTTAGTCATTTACATTCGAGGACACTTGAAATTCTTACTAGTGGCGAAATATCAAGCGTCGATGAAATCTAAAAAGGCTTGCGCTTCCTCTCCGAGACTTTAGACACTGTGTTACTCGATTCTTCTCTAGTGACGAAAATTAGGGTTTTTTTCTTCTCCCAGATTTCGAAAACCTCGCCAAGTTCGATCTTTGATCACCGATCAAATGGTTTCTAAGAAGCGACTTACATGCAGAGATGATTCCGACGACTCAAGCTCGGATTGCCTCGAAATCCGACCCAGCGGCCTACCTCTGCCTTCGTCTCTTCTAACGAGGAAGCACGACGACGACATTTCCGGTACCGAGACCATGCTCAGGAAGAGAAAACAGGCGAAGACAATTGCATCTTCCTCCTCGAAGATGATCTGGAGCAAAAACGAAGAACTCGTTATTCTCGGGGTTTGTTAATTCTCTATCTATTGTTTGTTTTATTTATATTCTTCTTTACTCTGATTTTTACTTATTACTCTCTATTTGTGTGTTTGTGTGTGGAAAAGAGTATTGTAGACTATGAAAAGGAAACCAAAATGAGCTACAGATCTGACTGGGATGGTTTCTACGGATATGTCAAAGATTTCATAGAAGCGAACTTCTCTAAACAGCAGCTCATGGATAAGATCAAGAACTTGAAGAAGAGGTTTTTAAATAACCAGGCGAGATCTATCAAAGGGAAAGGACTTTCCTTTACTAATACTGACGACGATGAAATCTTCAAAACGTCAATGATCATATGGGCCACAAATGAAACAGAGCGTGCTTCTAATGAGAATATCGACCAAGCCAAGGTGAGTTAGTGTTCCTTTTATTTTTACCAATCTCTTTACTTCCATCTCAAAACGTTATTGTAAAATTTGATATTACGAATGCGTTAATGATCTTGTATTCTTCTTTTGAATAAGGATGTGCCTTGTGTGGAGCATGAAAGTGCTGATGAGAATGATGAGAATATGGACCAAGCAACTGCAAAGGTAGTGAGTTTTTGTTCTGCTCTTACAATCTCCTTATTAGTTATCACCATCTCGAAACATTATGTGGAATTTGATATTACGAATCCGTAATTGATCTTAAGGTTATTGATTTGAATAAGGATGTGCCTTCTGAGGAGAATGAGCTGGTTAATGAGAATATGGACCCAGCACAGGTATTGAGTCTTTGTACTGCTCTTAGAATCTCCTTATTATCATCTTTAAACATTATGTAAAATTCGATAATATTAATAATGTGTAATGATCTTCGCTTCTTGTTTTGAACAAGGATGTGCCTTTTGCGGAGCATGCGCAAGCTAATGAGAATATGGAGCAAGAAAATGAAGTTAGTCTTTGTTCTGTTCTACAAAGCTCTTTACTATTATCTAAAAACAATATGTAAATTTGATATTACTAATGCGTAATTGATCTTATATTCTTGTTTTGAATAAGGATGTGCCTTACGCGGAGCATGAACAAGTTGATGAGAATATGGACCAAGAAAATGAAGTAAGAGTTTGTTATGTTCTACTAAGCTCTTTATTATTATCTCAAAACAATATGTAAATTTGATATTACTTGTGCGTAACTGATCTTATATATTCTTCTTTTGAATAAGGATGTGCCTTATGCGGAGCATGAACGAGTTGATGAGAATGTGGACCAAGAAAATGTGGTGAGTGTTTGTTCTGTTCTACCAAGCTCTTTATAACCATCACAAAACATACATATTGTAAAATTTACTAATGCGTAATTGATCTTATATTCTTGTTTTTAATAAGGATGTGCCTAATGCGGAGCATGAACAAGCTAATGAGAATATGGACCAAGAAAATGTAAGGAGTGTTTGTTCTGTTCGACCAAGCTCATTACAATTTCAAAACATTATGTAAAGTTTGATAGTACTAATTCGGAATTGATCTGAATTCTTGTTTTGAATAAGGATGTGCCTGACGTGGAGCATGAGCCGGTGAGTGACATAACTTTGGAGAATGGTAAAGGTGAGGACGAGGAGGGTGAGGAAGCTGGTGTGGATGAGATGGCTACTCTGCAGGATGCACTTGAGGCGATGACATGGTATCAGAGTTTTGGTCAATATCAACAGAATCGACTGCGTCAGAATTTAAAGAACATTGGAGCGCAAAGAAGAAAAGAGCTAGCTGATGAATGGAAGGCATTGCTTGGCGAGGAGATGAGATTGTATGCCAGGAAACTGACTTTAGCCGCAAGGCTTGCAAGCGCATGATATGCTTCTTGATTCAAGGATCAAAAAAGTTCAGCTTTTGGGTTGATTTAGATGTGTTAGGTTCTTGCTATTAATATCTTTTGTTGTGTTCAAAGCCATCTTTTAGACTTTCTAATTACCGTATGCTAAAAAAAAGTTGTGGCTTCTTTTGTCTTTAGGGTGTGAGTGATTTTGTGTTAATCAGTGTGACTCTGTGTTGTATGTTTCTGTAATGAATGTATAATATTTAGTATCGTTTAGTTTCTATGCTAAAACAGGAAACGATATTTGATTAAGAGAGAATATGAAAGAACGATGAAACGAATAGAATCAGGAGAAAGAAATCTCCTTACAGTAAAGACTTAAAGTTAATAGAAGATGATGAATTAATAAGTAGGTGGACCAAAGAAGAGAAAGTTTCTTCTCTGTGTCCTCATCTTGGGCTTCGACGAGATTTGGGCGTTGCTGCTACAAGCATCTCTTTCTCCATTTGAGCTGAACCGAAGACTAAACCGACTTAAAAGTGTATACCGAAATCGACTCTTCACGACTTTTAGTGATAATTTTTTATATATCTTTCACTAACAAGTAACAACCATTCCAACTGTCAAATGTCAATTCTTTGTCAACTAATAGTAATAGAATCGTCAGTGATTTCGGGAGAAAAACAAATTTACTGTAGGAATTCAAGTTACTGAAGTATAATCGTAGAGATGGACGAGATCCAAAGAGTCAAAGACCAAAGTCATTTATCTTCTAAAATCAGTTAAACAGTGCATTTCATGTAATGTTATGTTAGACGGCCCGCTATATTTTGAATGGAATTGTGGAGTGATGATAATCATATAATTTCGAGATTTGGCTAATCATAATGTGGAATGTCGTTCAAAAGGCTTTTTGATAAACATAAAAAGGTAATAATAATATGCGTCCAAGAGAAAAAGAACATAAGAGCACCTCTAAGGGAGGTCTCTTAAGAGAATCTCAGGCTAATTAAACATTAAAATTAAAGATAAAATAGTTTTTAAAGTGAGAAACGGTTCTCATTTTAAAAGATTTAATTGATCCTGAGAGACTCTGACGTGTCAAAATATGATTGCCTAAGGCATAATTATATTTTTTTATTTTATTTTTGCACCATCCAATTCTCTCTCTTCAGGAATCGTTTGATAAAAAATTGTTCTTCTTCATCGCGATGAAGACAGGGAGCTCTGCAAATCGATGCGAAAAAAATATTGTCTCCTTCATGCATGTCAAGTCGATTTGAGTCATGGCGAGGTAGTTCTGCAAATTTCTGGGTTTAGAAAGAGTTGGAGAGATGGAAAGCTGGGTAAATTTCTTTGGATTTCTTCAATTTTTGTCTGGATTCATCCCAATTTCTTAGATAAATTGAGTAGTTAAGGAATCATCTTACATTTATCAGATTGGGTTTCGATTATAGATTTGTTAGATGGATCGAATTTTTTCTTATGTGTGATTTGGGAATTCATCAACTGGTTTCTGAATTTTGATATATATTTTTTTTGTTCCAAGAGACCCTCATTAGAGGCTTCAAAACTTAAACACATTTATAAAGAATCTTATTTGTAAAAGAAACAAACAAAATATTAAAAAATTAGATGAGAACTCTTTAGAAGATCTCTCCATTGGAGATGGTCTAAGAAATTAGATACGTCATCAAAGAAAAAACAGAGCTCACATCAAACCAAAAAAGCACATATCGGTCACTCGTATTTTCTGACAATTTTGTTCCCCGATAATTGATAGATTTGTCATATATATATATATATATAAAAGACATCTAATTGTTTGAAAGGAAAACAAACAAATCTAACGTGTGGTGCGCATATATCTTCTACCCTCCATGGCTTGGTAGCCTGTCCTCTGGTTTGCGAAGACACTTACAATGCAACGCGTGACGTGTATGATGCTCGAGCTACGCATTTATCGAAATTGATAACAAAAGAACAAGTGTTTAAGCCAACAATCGAATTTTTCTCACATGCTCGACTCTATGTAGTGGATCGTCTTAAGTAATAAAAAAAGTTTTGGCCCATAATTATAAAACAATCATAACAAGATGTTCTGTTACTTGAATCCTTGAGCCGATGTCCATCATAAATTAAGAACTATACTTAGTTACATACCACTACATTAATGTTTTATGATTTTTTTTTATTTTTTATTTTTGACAAAGGTTTTATGAGTTTTAGTCCAGGATCGACTATCTTTTTGTTTTTGCCCATGTGCCATTTTTTCAACTTGTGATAAGATAATTTTTTCGCTGTCAAACAAAAAGACCATAGATTAAAATTAAAAGACCATAGATTAAAATTAAAAGAAAATTGAAATTATCTTTCGTTTTAGTTATTTGGTCGGCAAATAGAGAGAAGGTAAACTATACAAGTTTTAAAAGAAAAGGAAAAAAATAACGAAATGCTACAATAAATTTTCGAAAAGAGAGTGATGTGAAATGTGTAATAAAGACGGAAAGAAAATAAGAAAAAGGAAACGACGAATTTGGACGTAATTTTCAGCGAAACATGAGACCCGCAAACATATGCTTCGGGTCCCACTTCGCCTTTCAACTTTATCATTACACTGAGAACACAACTCTTCTCCGAACGCTAAACACCAAAATCCTCCAATTTTTTTTTTTTTTAAAAAAGACATTTTTACTCTCTTTGTTGATTCTCTTCAAGCTCTAGCCATTTAGGGTTTTTTGTTTTTGTTTTGGGTAGTCTCTATGAGTCTCTGGAACCTATTTTGCCCACTAATGTTCTTGGGTACGCCTTTCTTCTCTTCTATCTTGGGCAATGAGCTTGTGCAATACATAGTGAGCTTCATTTTCTTTTTCATTGTTCTCGCATCTTACTGGATTTGATGTGAATCACTTTGAATCTCTTGATAATTTTGCCATCTTCGATATATATTTTTTAAGGTTGAATCTTCACTTCAGCTACTGTTCTTACTTCTTAGCATTCTGCTTATTTTAGCTTCAATGAGATCTGGGATCGAGATTTTTAATTTTTTTAAAAAATTTGATTTAAGAAGGTCTTCGTTCTCGCTGGATTTGGTTAAGACTTGAATCTTCATATTTTACTTTTTTTTTTCTCCTTTATCAATGTGATTGATAGGTCCATCGAAATCTCCCAAAAAATGTGTTCTTTCTGATTATTAAAGTCTAAAGTACCTAGCTTTACCTCTGTAGGGTTCATCATTTGAGTCTATAACTATGATTACTTCACCTGTTCAGTTTCCTTTTTGGATCTTTAGCTTCCCTTTGCGTCTCCAGCTCCTTACTTTGATCATTGCATTTCTCTGTTACATCTTCCTTTTTTTACTCAAATAGACATTGCTCTTTGTTTGGAACATTGTTGTTTGATTCATTTGTAATAATATTTTCGAGTTACTTCTGGTTTGATTCAAATGATTGTGATTGTTGCAGGTTTTTGTACTCGGACGTTTTAGAATGAATCAAGGAAGATGAGTCTCTCATGGTGTTTCAGAACAAAGTCCTTGCATGATCTGAAGTACTTCTTGTTGTGTCTGAAATCTGGGACTAATATCAGCATGAGAGAAGCTCCACTGTTTAAAAAGCTGTATTGATAAAGTAACTCATTGCAAATGGGATCGTTAGCGGGTGCTTGTGAAATTGTTGAGGAGAAGGATGTGGTCAGGTTGGCTAAACATTCTAGCAGATATTGTGAGACAGCATTGCGATCAAGCAAAGATATGGAGCGTCATGCACTAAAACAAGGTTCTATGGAGTATGACATTGATCAGCTTTTCCAGTCTATAACTATAAAACCATCACCCGGGAGAGTGATGGGCTCTTCTTTTCATCATCTTGAGACGAGCGCAAGCGCTGGTCCGAGCAGGAGCACAAGCCCTTCGAACAAAAGTGCTATGAAAAAGCCCTTTCCCATAGGTCCACCTCGATCACCAAGAGTTGGTCTCTCTGACTCAATTTCACTGAAGCAGGCCTTGAGAGATCTTTGCATATCAAAGGCTTCAGAAATGGCTGCTCAGAAACGGTTATCAAAATCTGCAGCTGCATCTCCGAGGGTTTCTGAAGCAGACAAGATACAGAGTCTTTACAGACAAGTTTTGAATGAGTCTGCTGGCAGGTCTGGTCTTCCTGTGGACAAGGGTAAGAGCTTGGTTGAAATATCTTTGACGCCTGTAGATGATATACCCAGCTCTTCCCAGAGTCTGCCTCAGCGGTTTGATGTCATTGAGACAGAGGCTTCGAACTCCATTTCTGAACCATCTCAGGCTGAAATCTTTCTCGGCGTAAATGGAAACAGATCCGGATTAAAGGCAATGGTAGAGACTTCCTCGCTGCATAAATCCAACATATCTGGATCTTCTTTCAGTTCTGCTAGTGGAGATTTTGAGATAGAGATAGATGAAAGTGCTGCATCTCCTCCTCATGTGGTCATTGAAGATGGTATAGTAGAAATAGACAAACATGTTAACTCGCTGCCTTTGTGTTCTGGCAGCAAAGTTGATGCTGAAGAGCTAGACAAGAGCATCGTCTCATCAGCTAGAGTGAAAAGTGAGCCAAATGCTCTGAACTCAGAGCTAATAGGGAGGTTGGATAACACATCTAGTTCAGGAACAGACAACAGAAAATCGGTAAGCAAGGTAACAAGAAGTAATATCCCACGTCCCAAACCCCGGCCAAAAAGAAAGCTTTTGGTTAAGAAGAAGTTAAGAATCGCTGTAGCTTCTGCCTCAAAACTAATCGACAAAGATGATACTTCCACAGAGCCTAGTGCAAGTGAACTTCTGTGCCAGAAATGCAACTGTGCGTTGAAGAGCTCCAGCACTGACAACCACCCGCCCACAAATACTACTTATAATACTGAGAAATGCTCAAACGGCTCTTTCTCAAAAAATGGCAGTATAGAAGCAAATCAGGGATCACTCGCAAGCTCTCATCTCATTCGCATTGTGAAGTCTAATAAAGAGGCCAACAAGGGCTCCTCCGATTCTTGTGGAAAAGGTGATACGGATGAGCAGAAAAGAGAGAATCCAACTTTTAGCGAAAAGTTCGAATTCTCTTTGAGCTCAAAGGATAGCCTAGGGGATTACAGCAGCAGCACAAGCATGAGTGAAGAGAGCAATCTGAGCAGGTTTAGCTGTGGCAATAAACCTCACATGTCTATGGATGTGAGATGGGAAGCAATTAAGCACGTCAAGTTGCAGTATGGCTCTTTAGGACTCCGACATTTCAACCTTTTGAAAAAGCTTGGTTGTGGAGATATAGGAACAGTTTATCTTGCTGAGCTGGTTGGTACAAACTGCCTGTTCGCCATAAAGGTCATGGACATCGAGTTCTTGGCCCGGCGGAAAAAGACACCTAGGGCACAGGCGGAACGTGTAATCCTTAAAATGTTGGACCATCCTTTTCTGCCTACCTTGTATGCGCAGTTCACTTCGGATAATTTATCGTGTCTGGTAATGGAGTATTGTCCCGGTGGTGATCTTCATGTCCTGAGGCAAAAACAGCTCAGTAGGTGTTTCTCCGAACCAGCAGCTAGGTAAAGATTACTTACACATCGTTATTACGAATTTGTTATGATCGCACAAGTAAAAATGATGACTTTTGTTCACAGGTTCTATGTAGCAGAAGTCCTTCTTGCGCTGGAGTATTTACACATGCTTGGTGTTATATACCGAGATTTGAAACCAGAGAACATTCTAGTCCGAGAAGATGGTCACATCATGCTTACAGATTTTGACCTCTCACTCAGATGTGCGGTGAACCCGACTCTTCTCAGATCAACTTCTCCACCCGGGAAAGATCCAGCAAGAATGTCGGGTCCATACAACACATCCAACTGCATACAACCTCTATGTATTGAACCATCGTGTCGGGTCCCATGTTTCACCCCTAGACTGCTCTCATCAACCGGAGGCTCAAGAAAACCGAAAAGGCCTGATCTTTTGACACAACAGCTGAGATCACTGCCTCAGCTTGTGGCTGAACCAACGGAAGCAAGATCGAATTCGTTTGTAGGAACGCACGAGTACTTAGCACCGGAGATCATTAAAGGAGAAGGACACGGTGCTGCAGTAGACTGGTGGACGTTCGGTGTCCTTCTTTATGAGCTCTTATACGGGAAGACACCTTTCAAAGGCTACGACAATGAGGAGACACTGTCCAACGTTGTGTTTAAGAACCTCAAGTTTCCTGATAGCCCGCTTGTGAGCTCACAGGCAAAGGATTTGATCAGAAGGTTGCTTATGAAGGATCCAGAGAGCCGACTCGGGTCAGAGAAAGGAGCTGCAGAGATCAAGAGACATCATTTCTTTGAAGGGTTGAATTGGGCTCTCATCCGCTGCGCTGTACCGCCTGAGCTACCGGATATCTATGAGAATGGTGCAACGGAAGCGACTTCTCCTCAGGGGAATAATGATGGGTATCTTGAATGTAAAGCCATGGGAGATCATCTTGAGTTCGAGTTGTTTTAGGGGATAGAGAAAAGACAAAGATGGTCTAAGTTGTTGTAATACATTTCTAAGTCTAATAAGGTAAGTTTGGCCTCTTTTTCTTTACTTTTCCATTGGCGTGACTGCTTTGTTTTGGGATTGTGTCAAAGGCAAAGCAATGTCCTTCATAAAGGTTGAAGAAAGAAGAAGAGATTTGGGTCGTTTAGTTTAAACGGAGGATTATGTTGGGCTCTTTTTGGGCTTTTGCGTCTTCGTACTAATGCTCCAAATTCGGACACAAAACTTTATTTACAGTAGTAATATATACTAGCTATAAATTATTGCCACATGGCAGATGATATAAAGACACGTATGGATTTTATATAATGTTGTCCCACATTTGTTATATAAATTAATGCAATTAGGCCTGAATACAAAAAGTAAAAAACAGTAATGGAAAAGTTAGAACTTGGATCCAATCAAATAATTTTTAGTATTATCATCATCATCCTCTCATCAGATTACCACTAACAACCATTTGAATAATATGTATGAAGGAAAGTTCTCATGCAATTTCGTAGATCATGTGATGTTTGACCAAAGAAGAATTTTGTTTTTTGTGCCAAGTTATATTATTTTACACACAAACACACAATACACTTGAGAGAATGTGTAATTTGGTCAATGATGATGAAAAATAATGAAAGATGTTCCTATTAGGAAAACAAGTCAATTAACTGTAATCCTCTCTCTTCCCTTATTCCTTTTCGCCGGCGTCTGATTCCTGCCGACGATGTTTCTCCGTCGAAGCGCCGTCGTCTATACACTACTCTTCACCATAACAGCCTCCTCCTTAGTCGCAGCTCAGAACTCTTCATGTCCTCTCGACTTTTCCGTTCTGCAACCGTTCCGGCGACCTAGCCCCGACGGCGCCACCACCTGCCAATACCTCCTCCAAGGTCTGCGTCTCCTCTACTCTCACCATCTCCGGCAGACTGGCTCTTTCCTCCCGCCGTCCGATTCAGCCGCCTCTTGCTGGGCTGCTTTACAGTCGTCGATCGCCGGATTTCTCCCTCGCTTCGATGTCCGGTCTAGATGTGGTTTCCAGACGCCGTGGATCTCACAGGGATGCATGAACATCACCACCAGGTCTCAATTCGAATCCCTAATCCCTAATTCCACTCTCACCACGGCCGTGATGCGCTGCAACCTCTCCCTTGAGAGCAATACACCTTGCGCCTCCTGCACTCAGAGCTTGTCCTCGTTTCAGGCCTTTCTCACCGGAACTTCCGTCGGAAATGTCTCCGATTGTGCAGCTTTCCCGTCGATTTACGCCGCTGCTCACGCTAACCGGTACGGCCCTACGGACAAAGGCACAGCGAAATGCTTGTTTCAGCTCGATCTGGCTTCTGGAAGCTCCGGGAAGAACGGGAAGAAGATGGTGAAGATATTAGTTCCATTACTTGCTGCTGTGTTGCTCGTTGCCTCTGCTTGGCTCTTCTGGTATTACAGGAGGAAAAGGAAAGATTTTGATCGGAGGAAGATGAAGAAGCAGCGAGATAGTTTAGAAGCGGGTATTACTCAATCTAGGCTAGACTCAATGAGCGGGAGCACAACTTTGGTTAAATTCAGCTTCGAAGAGATCAAGAAAGCGACCAACAGTTTCTCAAGGAACAACATCATAGGCAGGGGAGGTTACGGGAACGTGTTCAAGGGCGTGTTGCAAGACGGCACCGAGGTTGCTTTCAAGAGGTTCAAGAACTGTTCCGCTGGTGGTGACGCCAACTTCGCTCATGAAGTTGAGGTCATCGCGAGCATACGCCACGTGAATCTTCTGGCACTGAGAGGCTACTGCACAGCGACTACGCCTTACGAAGGTCACCAGAGGATCATAGTGTGTGATCTTGTGAGTAATGGTAGTCTCCACGACCATCTCTTTGGAGACTTGGAGACTCAGCTTTCTTGGCCTTTAAGACAGAGGATCGCGCTTGGGATGGCGAGAGGACTGGCTTACCTACACTACGGAGCACAACCTTCAATCATCCACAGGGATATCAAGGCTAGTAACATTCTCTTGGACGAGAGGTTTGAGGCCAAAGTTGCAGACTTTGGACTAGCCAAGTTCAACCCTGAAGGAATGACTCATATGAGCACGAGGGTCGCAGGAACAATGGGGTACGTAGCGCCAGAGTACGCTCTGTACGGGCAATTGACAGAGAAGAGCGATGTGTACAGCTTTGGTGTGGTGCTTCTAGAGCTTCTGAGTAGGAGAAAGGCGATTGTGACAGACGACGATGGCCAGCCTGTGTCGGTGGCTGACTGGGCGTGGTCATTGGTCAGAGAAGGGCAGACTTTGGACGTGGTGGAAGACGGGATGCCTGAGAAGGGATCTCCGGAGGTTTTGGAGAAGTATGTGCTGATAGCAGTGCTTTGCTCTCACCCTCAGCTACACGCAAGACCAACAATGGATCAAGTGGTGAAAATGCTGGAGAGTAATGAGTTCACTGTTATCTCTATACCTCAACGACCAATCCCTCTGGTGGCTCGTAGGGATGAGATTGACCTCTCTGTTAGTAGCAGCAGCGGCTCTGGGAAGCTGACTAGCCCCACGGGATATCAAGCCTTCTCTTTCGGAGCTGATGCATCCCAACACAAATAGCTCTTATGTTTTTTCTCCCAACTTGTAAATAGTGTTAGTGTGCATTTAATTCATTCTTTGATGATGGTTCTCCTCTGTCACTTACGCATGATATACCGCTCCAATAAATTCATGTCTTCTAATTTCTATCAGCTGCTGCATGGCAATACCAATACCGGTTGAATCAGGCTTCAAACGAGAGAAAACTGAAAGATGTATATACATGTGTAAAGTATATTTAGAGACAAGGACAAAAGCTTTTTGCCTTGTTGGTAAAAGACACGAAACATACGGAGGTCTTACGTATTCGCCAAAATCCATATCTTAAACTAACCAACCATAAAATATCAATGAGTGTACCACACATAGCACTTTCATAGTAGGAATCTTACATATTCGTATATATTTGTGTCCTTGACTCAAAAAAAAGTTGGACATATCTATTGTCTATCAACGGATCTGATTCTCTTTTTGACTTTTAGATTTGTTGGTTGCAGTGATATTGCTGATCGCAAGCTCGGTGATCTTCTTGGCAGCTACAGGCTGAAAGCGAAAGACTAAAGGTGAAGAAGCTGGAAGAGATCAACAAGACTGTTGGGTGCTTGCGCGAATAGAATTTGCCTTTTTTATACGGAAACCTGTTTGAGTTTTGGCCATTATATATGGATTTAAGTTTCTCTCCTAAAGTGAGAAAAAATGTGTAAAAGAATGTGAATGGAAAAAAAGGTTTGCCTCAGGATTTTAGAAGTTCAGACCTAAAAGATTGGTTGTTTCTTCTCGTGAGTTTTCATGGCAGTGCTCCTCAATCAGATTAGAAGGGTTTTATATTCTTCCAGCAACTTCGGGATGTCATCCATCCGCAACTGAGAATAGCAATGTAAACTAGACATGTCAGAGCATGCGTGGATCCAAATAAGCCTGACGTATGTTTGAGATGCAAAAAAGTTGATCCTAATAATACATATTATAAAGAAGATTTAAGAAAACTTGAAAAAATCGTACAGGTTCTCAAATCAACTTTAGAATAGAATTTTAGGCTCTGAGCCACAGAAAAACAGGGTGAGATTCGTACAAGTGTCATTACCATGATGCAACAAGTTGATCATGGATGATGTTCAAGAAAACGTAATAAGAGGAGGGAAGTATGCAGTATTACCTCGGAAGAACTTTTGATATGATAAAACGTAAAGGTCTTCATTCTGGGGAGGCCAAAGTCAGCAGATGTTAAGCTGTTCTGTGCACTGAGACACACCCGCCACAGCGATGGAAACAAGCATGTAGGAAGGAAAGGAAGCAGCAAATGTTTTCATAACATGTACAAGGGATACAGAGCAATGCTTTTACAATAACCTTTACTGTGAGGATCTCACTACCTTAAGAAATGAATCAGCTTCGAAAATTCTTCGGATTAACAAGTCTCAAGGGCATATTCAGGAAATAATAATGATATCCATGTCAATGTTATATGTCACTTCTAAATTCTCACGGGATTTAACTAAATTATTTCATGGTCATTTGGTGGTTCCACGCGCAAAAAGGAACAGCCATTTGAATCGGACATATAAAGATAATCGACATAAACAAGAACTGAGTCCAAAAATATTGCCATGGGTAAGAACAACTCACGTGTATTTTCGGGTAACAAGTCGCTGATAATCTCGAAGTAAGGAACCAAGCTCTTTTAGTTGTAAAGTTATAGGAGTGGACTCTTTCCAATGTTGACGAAGTGCTTGAGCTGCCATCTTTTCATTGGGGAAGCATTTTAGTACAGGATAGCACAATCACACATCCTGAAATAGACAGACGAAAAATCACCTGAACCATAGAAGCTCGATCATCAACTACATCTCCCTCAATCAATCTTTTTCCTAATTCAACGAATTCTTGATCTTCTGACTCCTCAGGAATTTGAAGGCGTAATCCTGATGAAACAGATATTCCCATTTTCTTCTGCAATTCAACAATAGCGGATCCCTCTTGTCCTCTGTCCTGTGTTACCAGACTCTCAATTGTTTAAACAAGTTGAAAAGCTAATTTGATTACATTGACGAGAAACACATAAGATATGTAGGAACTTCTATTACCTTGTCCAATACTCTCTCTGACTCTTTAATTTCAGGAGGATTTCTAAGTTGAGGTACAGATGACCTCTTGGCTATCGGATCATCTGAGGAAAAAAAAAATAAACGAGTAGGTTGAGGTTGTTGATGTGGTGAAAGCGGCAAAGTTTTGAGTTAGGTCCCTATCTAGAGTTTCACATACATTTCTTCTTTCAACCACAAATATGAACATTTCAGAAGGCTTCACTAATATTCAATCAAATGCGTAAAACTTCATAACTTCCAATCAGGTACAAACTTGATGAAGAAAAAGAGCATGCTAGAAAATGAAGTGTAGCTACATAGCCTACACTCTACGACCAACACCATGTTAGTTCGTCTTGCGATACCAAAAATTTTAAGATATAAAATTTATCCAAAGATAATACTAATTAGGTAAAGAAAGAAGATAATACTAATGATGCTTGTACACAGATAACCAAGTTGGCAAGTTTTTGGAGGTAAAACATCAGTACAAATAAGAACAAAATACCTTCGGGAACCAACCACCAAAGATCACCAAAGGTCGATTTTCCATCAAACCCACCAAGTAAAAGGTGACGAGCTCCGATACAAGTCATGGAATGGTAAGCTCGAGGAGGAGGAAGCTCATCATTGCTTATTGGTAAGCGCTTCCACTGAGCAGTTACTAGAATGTGAAAATAAAAAATTAGCAGAAACTATAACAAAGCACAGTGAGAATTTTTTATATACATCACAGTTCTCACTAGATTGTACTATAGTAAATTACTGAGGTGGATTTTGGATTTGCAGGCTGATAAATTTTGGTAATCCTTGAGCAGGAAATAGATCTAATGAGACGAGGGAGCAAAAATCTACCTCTGTCCAAAATTATAGTGTCATCATAATAGACATCATAACGACTCAGCCATCCACCAGTTCCATGTCCCCCAAATAACAGAAGCTGCATAAAGAAAATTAATGATGTATGTCATATAAACTTACCCATACAGAAAAGCAAAAACAAAATGAATAGTATCTTGATTGTAGAAAGAGATAAAAAAGAGCAAACAGAAGCTGAAAAGGACATACATAATGTCCTCCGGATGTAACTGTATGACCACATCGAGATGATGGTGCTTGGCCAGGAAGCTTGAGTTGGGTCCATCCAGGCGTTTCACGCTCTTTCTTCCACAACAAAGGTAAACCACAATAAGATCAGAAAACAGAATATAAGATAGAAGACAACTTAAGAGAGTGCTCCTACAAGATTCAATGCATTTGTAAGAAAATTAGTTAAGGATGAACCTTCATCTATTAGACCCTTCAAAGCCCACAAATCACCCATGATAGGGCCACCACCTCCTGTCAAAGATCACACAGCATAATTTCAGTTTAGTTGTATCAACTCAAGCCAAACAAATTATGATCATGACCCCTCAGAACCAAAGAAATATCAAACCAGGTAATGCATTTATAAGTATAAATCCTTCAGATTGGAAAGGAAACTTCTTCATTAATCATAGAAGTTAGTAATTGACAACGATGGGTAAATGAAATACATCAGCATCCTTATCATTTTTTGATGAATGAGAAGGGAGAATAGAAATTTAGCATTTATCAATTGCGGTATTCGGTAAGAAAAGGGAAAAGAAACCAGAGTAGCAACATTTTTTGTACTGAATATGCCAAAACAAGTATCTTAAAAGTTTTGGTGTAGTATATACCTCTGCCACCGAAAACAAGTAACCGTTTCTCAACCATGGTGGCTGTATGACCACATCTAGGAGGTGGCAACGACCCCGAAACCGACAGCTCCATCCATTCAAGGGACACTAATGGATACCAAGAAAGTTAGCATTATCAGCAACCAAAAAAAGTTGTTTGCAAAACTGATGTAGATGAGAGAAGTAAGGTTTTACTTGTGTCCATAACATACACATCTGACAGCCACTTTTTACCATCCCAGCCGCCACACCTGCCAAAGATCTAGGTTTAGCTATGCAGGCGCAAAATTAAACTAATGAACATCTAAAGTTTGATACTCACAGTACAATTTTCTGGCTCCCAATAGCAGCAGCGGCAGAAAAATCACGAGGCGTAGGTAAGTCGCCGAAGCTAGTCAGCTCAGACCACTGCCATATATCTGCAGCAAACGTTAGCAGCCGTCATGAATGGAGATATAATAGAAGTGTGAAAAGCAAAGTAATAAGAATTCTCAGGCAGGTAAAACTCACACGACAATACATACCTGTATCTAGAACCCAAAAGTCGCCCAACCTGAAATATTGATTCATAGAAATAAGCTATTTGTGGCCGGTGAAAATAGAATCTAAAACCGCTATAACTAAAACAACACCAGTGCGTACCTCTTGCCACCAGAACGTCCACCAAAGATGAACATATGACAATCGATTGTGATGGCAACATGAAATGCACGAGGTGAAGGACCCACTTGTCCATCCGACACGCTGCCAGTGCATTCTGGCTCAAACCAGAGTTTGTTTTCTAGTCGACAGGATAAAGAACAAGCAATCATAAGACAACAACTTCTCACATGATTAACAACGCTGAATGGTATAACCACCTATACTTGAAAAGAAACTAGTTTCACTAATACTCAAAACTAGGAGAAGGAGAAAAAAAGATACTCAAAATATGAAGTACTAGACAAGACTAGCGAAACAAGTAAGGGAGTATCCATCTGATTCATTTTCAACATCGAATCCAATAATCTCATGTGAGGCATTAAGTTTTTTCATGTTTTTGCAAAGGAACCATCTTTGATGAAGCATCGGCCTAACCAAGCTAACATTCGATAAACTAGCAGAAACACTACTCATTTACAAGGAAAGCAACGTCCTTGATAATAAGCTAATCAGAAGAACAAAACGAACCAATAATCCTAGGCTGAAATAATTTGTAATGAAGTATTAAAGTTTCTTGGGACGATTGATCTAGGAACCGAAAAATGGGAGAGTAAACTTCTCCGCATATCGCATGCGAAAAAATTAAAAGCTTTAAGAAAAAAAAACAGAATTTTTTTCCGAGACACAAGATAAAGGGATGAGAGGGTGATGATTATACCAATATCATAAACAATTATGTCGTTGAGGAATTTCTTATCGACGAGACCGCCGAACACGACCACCATGGATTTTCCGACATTGACAGCTGTATGTCCACTGTTTTTGTTTTTTTAAAACACCAAGAATTCAGTTGAATCGAATCGTATGGAATCGAGGGCCGTGATAGAGAAGAATAGGAAAAGAGAACAATTACCTCCTCGGCTGTGGAGGATTTCCGGTGAAATCGGAAGAGGAAGCTCGAACCCAGTGATGCATACGGTGTCGATGATGTCGGAAACACACGGATCACCGATATTCTTTGTATTCGCTTCAAGTGGACTTCTTCTCTTTAGTCAATTTTTTGCAGAGGGAAGATCGAAACGGAAGGACTCTTGTTCAATTAAACCACCAATGTATGTCCGGTTTGGTAATGGGAACCGAAATTCCGGAAGCAATTTACTTATACGAGTCGAGGATGCACCGGTTTATCCGGGAAATTTAATAATTTGGACGATGTAGGTTCAGTCCCGTTCGGTTCGATCTGGTATCTGTCATTGAGTCTTCTTCTGTTTAAAAAATCTTCATTTTTAACAGTGGTTTGGTAATGAAAACGAACTTAATTCGCCGACTGTATCTTTCTCTTTTCATTTTGATGCAGAAACGAATGGCACAAAGAAGCTTGCTCGATGATTTCGTGATCCTCGTCGTGAATACTAATAATAATCCATGTCAACAAGACGAATCTTCTCCGTGTCAAGTAATCTCAATCTCAGCTTCGGAAATTGCAACCTGGGATTTGTCAGGGATACTCTGCTACGGAAGAGTAAAAGTTGGAGCTCATCGAACAAGGAAAGTGTCCTACTTCTCATCCCCAATCTTGAAATCTTCTCGGGGTCAAGTTGGATTCGAGCTCTTCGAAATATTTGTTTCAGTAATAGTGTAGTGATTCTTGATTTTTCGTGTTCTATGCAGGCTCATTCAGGAATCCTCTTATTTCCATGGCCTTCTTGGCGGAAGCTTCAAGTAAAAATTTGATTTTTTTTTGTTAGTGTCTTTGTCGGTTCTAGTTTGTGTTGTGTTTATTAGTTTTCAATCAAAGTGAAATTGGATTTGTAACAGCGAATCAGGCCTCGATCACATCTCTATAGAATGGAACCTGGAGACTTTCTTGAATCTTCTGATATGTATCTATGGTGGCTCCATTGATATTACATCCAGTAGTTTCTTACCTCTGTTCGACGTAAGCTCTTTGTATCAATCCCTCTGCTACTCTTTTTTTTTTGCTCTTCTCTATTGTTACATGCTTTTTAGTTTCAAGCTGATTGTGGAAAGTATGAATGGAGAATATAGGCTGCACTGTATTTTGGAGTGGAGAGGCTTATCTCTAGATGCAAGAGCTGGCTTTCAGTGTTGGCATCACCACAACTAGAATTATCTGACCTTATTCAGATATGGAGATACGGTGTCGACCGTGGTTAGAATCTCGAGAAAACCTTTATTATCAGTTGTAAAATTAGTTAAATTCCTCTGAATCATGATTCAAAGTTATTTTAAATTCAATGTTATGCTCACTGTGTTAGGTGTTGACATCATCTATATCTTTAACACATGACTTTTTGATACTTACAGCTGTAGACTTCGTGCAAGATCTCTGTGCAGCCTATCTTGCAAAGAATTTCGTATGTAACTTATTGTAGGCTTCCTATATTGTAGTCTTTGATAGCTAATAACTGATCCTTATGTTTTCTGCAGATGCTGGTACAATCTGATAAGTATTTTGGAAATGTTCCATATGAGTTGTTGATCTGCGGCATAAAACATCCCCACCTGACCGTACACAGGTAGGTTTTTGCCCATTGTCTATCTTATTAATGCAAAAAAAAATCTTATATTCTCACACCTTTGACCAAACTCTGACAGTGAGATGCATCTTGCTGATGCACTTCTTGTTTGGATTGATGCCGACAAAAGAATGTTTAACTTGTCAGAGAGTAGTAAGGATAACATTATCAACTTGATGGAACAGGTAATGTTTAGGTCTGTTTTTTATGCAAAGAGAAACTTAACAGTAAAAAAAACATGTATCTATATTTTGTTAACTATATTTTTGATGCGGGTGTGCTTTATTTTGCGATCAAAGGGCTCATGTGGATTTAAAGCCAGAGTCACTTTTTGTCTGTGAAAATGATCCACTTTGAATTGGAAATTTTTCTAAGCACTCTAGAAGAAAAAAGAAAAGAAAAAAAAAAAACCGGAATCCAATGGTTTTGCTCATTCTTATACATATTTAGCTTACATGGAACTGTGGTTCACAGTTTAGGTTGTTTTCTGGTCAATTATATTGCAGGTTCATTTTAGTCTTTTGCCTCTGTGGTTTATTGCAGGTAATATCATGACAGATGTGTGTGATATATATCTCTTACTTGGGAATATAGCAGATAGTCATTTAGTCAAATTTGTTCCCATATTTCAGGAAGAAGCAAGTCTCATAATTTCTCAAAGTTTGCTGATCAAAGCATTGAATTGGTTATAAAACTAAGGAAAATGTCATCCAAATGCTTGGTCGATAGTCTAAGAGATGGCCCTCCTGCTGATCTTAGAGTTCGTCTGACAGAATACTCAGAGGTATATTATATATTAAACAAAGTTTCTTCCTTGATGTTTGCTAACCAGTTTCATATGTCTCATAAGTTCATATATTTAGACAATGGATGTCTAAGATTCATTTTGATAAAAATCTGAGTCATTGATACTTTGTGTCGTCCTGTCTAATTATGCATTTGTTCCCTGAATCAGAGAATGGACCTCTCAGGATGCCCGCAGTTAAATGAAGCCATTCTGCTACTGTCACTACTTCCTAGAACATATTTCACAAACTCCTTGTGGAGAAAGAGTCTAAAAAGTTTCCTAACGAACCCTGAAGATGAAACTTTACCACTTTTAGCTTTTGAAACGGTGAAAGAGGTTGATATTTCCAAGTGTCAGAGGCTTGATTATAAAGTTGCAGTCAAGTGCTTCTCCAAGTCATTCCCATCATTAAGAAAACTGAGAGCTGCTTATCTCTTAAACATCAAGGTGTCCACTATTATTCAACTTCTACAGAATTTTCTCCAGCTTACTGATGTTGATTTAACCGTTGATATCGTTCCTATAATACCGGGTCAAGCATCGGTGTTTTACTCAAGTCCAGGTTTAGCTCAGACTCCACCCATCATCTTCTTAACAGCTGGAAGTAATTTCTTTGATTCTGGCCAGAGTCACTGTTCGCTTTCAAATATTACAAGACTAACGCTGAAGGGTAGAACTGATGTATGTGGTTAGTCTTATGCTCTACTTTGAAAATTCAAATCCCAACTATTTTCTTCTTGCTGTTAATAAACTTAAAGGTAGCTAAACTGTATATTTTTATAGCTTATGCCTCGTTTTAATTTTCCTTGTAACAGATACGGATCTAAGGAGCATCTCTAGATTATGTGATTCTTTATGTTACCTGAACATAAAAGGGTGTGCACTACTCTCAGATGCATGTATAGCATATGTTATACAGAGGAGTAAGAAGTTACACTCTCTCATAGTTTGCTATACCTCTTTTTCGGAGAGTTCGATCTCGGCTCTATGCGCTAGTACTTCTATGACCAATGAGCATGTGGACTCAAATTCATTAGCATCGAATCTTCAGATGCTGCACATGAGTAAATGCGAGGGTGTGTATCTTTTTCCATTTCAGTCTCTTTTTGATGTAAAAGATGATGGACTCTAAACATAATTGTAGTGTTACATTTTCAGGAATTAGTGAGGCATCGCTTCTAAACTTGATAACTCGGACACATAAAATGAAGAGCCTTTGCTTAAGGGATACACACGTTTCAGACAATGTGCTACGTGGATTCTCTGGCTCTTCCTTGGAAGCACTTGATATTTCAAATACCAAGGTCAGTCATTCATTCAGTAGAGAGCATATCTTACTCCCACAGGACTTAGCTTCAGCCCCGCTAATTTTTGGAGCTTTTTACAGATATCTAATATGGCTCTTGCTCGTGTAATTAGCGAAAATCCTAATCTAAAAAGCCTTAAAGCCAGGGGATGTAAGAATCTGCTACAATTACAGATTGAAGGGAGAAGTGAAAGTTTCTCTCAGTTGGTTTCTAGTCAAGAGGTGTATGAATGTTTAAGCAAGGGAAGTGGATTGGAGGAGCTTGAGATTGGCTGGGGGTTTTGTTATTTCTCTCTTGAGTCTTTGAGACCTGCAGTTTCGTTCCTACGAGCTATAAGTGTGGGTTTGGGTGCTTCCTTAGGTGAAGATGCTTTAAAGCTTCTATCTTCTGCTTGTCCTTTGCTAGAGTCTATCGTCCTTTATTTTCAGGTATTGTAGTTCTGATCCTTGGATTTTTCAAAGATAAGTGAGTTTTTTCTTCTTTCTTTAACTGGTTTTTTTTTGTTGGTTTGCTAGGAAATATCTGATTCTGCCTTGACAAGTATTGTGACATCATTGAAGCACCTACAAGAGTTAGCTTTGTCCTATTGTTTCGGTGACATATCACTTCAAAGTTTTAAGCTTTCTATGCCGAGCCTGAGAAAACTAAGGCTTGAGAGGGTAACTCGTTGGATGACCAATGATGATTTATTTGTTCTCACGCAAAGCTGTCCGCACTTGACCGAGCTTTCGTTACTAGGATGTTTACACTTAAATTCAGGTAAAAAAAATTGTTACTTGGAGAAACAAATCACCATATAATCTAGTGCCATTTCTTAGTTTTGTTCACCTTTTGTTTTGACTTTTATTTCTCAGATTCTCAACCTATCATCTCAGCTGGATGGCCGGGATTGATTTCTCTTCATCTAGAGGTTTATTAAGACACTTAGGCTTTATAAGTAATGCTTTATTAGGACATTTTAGCTTCATCTATTAAGTCTTATTGTACAACTTTGTGAACCATAGGAATGTGGGAGAATAACAGAGAATGGTGTGGCTTCTCTCTACGGCTGCATTGCTATTGAAGACCTTTTGCTTCGCCACAACGTGAATTCTCTTTTATATGTCCTCACTCAATTAGTGCTGTGGTGCATACCTCAGATAGAAGTCTTTGATGTGCAGAGTTACCATATTCTTGTTTTCTTTAATACAGGGCTCTGGAATACAGAAAAGCTTCCTTCTCGATGCTGCTTTGAAGGTAAATTTCAGGCACCTTATTGCTTAAAGAGAGTTAGTCTGTTGTTGCATCAGAAACGCACTCTTCTTTCTTTCTTTTTTTTTTGGCTTAATTCATCTCAACAACCAGCAGTTTCCAATGCTTCGGTTGGTATCTCTGGACATGTGTGATGCAAAGGAAGGCAACTTCGATGTCCCAGAGGTAAGTAATAACAGAGAACAGTAGAACACCTATTGAAGTTTACTCAGTAGCTTGAGAACATCATATGAATACTTTTTTGTAGCTTTAGATCAAAAACAATATTCACATGGCAAGATTCGTCGATGTGTTTTTGTCTTTTTGGATTGGCAGGAGAAAGAGGATGGTCGTTTCCTAAGCATAGTGAAGATCAGTAGATGCAAGTCTCAGAGATGCGCTCTGGGAAGAGAGTTAGGGCCAGTGCATAGAGAGACTCTGGTTATGTTTTGGAATGGCCAAAACTTCACTAAAACGCTGCTCAAACAAAGACTTTAGTTATCACTCTCGATTACTTTATGTTGGTTTTTTTATTTTTATTGTAGTTGAAAGAGTTTGCTTTCGAGTTAAGTTTAAATGCAGTCTATGTCATAATAGTATTCCAAGAACGTGATCAATACGATCTGTTTATTATTGGGATTTGGGACCCTATATTAGTCATGTACGTACGTATATTAGTAACGTGCAATAAAAGTTTTTGAGTTTTTGACAGGTCAATTCTGATGAATGTCCACTGTATCGACGTACAAATTCATGTAACCGTCCATATATAGTTAATTATATAAACTACTAATGACGCTCTACTCACTTATAAGGGAAAATAAAAGAATAATAGAAAAATATACTTCGTCGTCATAGCCTCATAGGTGATGCTATTACAGGGAGCACATGTGTACAAGAGAAAAAGAGTTAAATGGGCTAGATAATTCCATAATAAGTAAAATTTCAGAAAAAAAAATTGTTAATCAATAAGCTTTTTATTCTTCTAAATGGGAGATGGCAAATTGGACCGTGTAAAATGTGGATCTCCCAACAACTTGTTGTTACCACCTAATTGGAAACATGTATAATGAAATCCACAAAATATACTTGTTTCCAAAAATAAATTTTCAAAATTTAGGTTGTGAATGTTCCAAAACTTGTTCAATGCGTTTACTGTATAACAAACACCATTAAGCGAGACAGAACTTGAAAATAGTTAGAAGAAAACATATTGATCACCACCATTTTGGTGAGCACATGCACATGGCTGTTCTGCTCCAAATTTTTCCTTTAGTAATTAAACAAGTAATGAAACATTTTGGGAACTCTCTAAATCTTAAATGATAGTATGAATTTGATGATTAACAACTATATTATAAATGATTGTGATTCTAATGCCACTCATTATTATTACTGTATTATACCCCCTATAAAAAAAAAAAAAAGATACCACTAGTCATTATTATTGTATTAATGGATTGCATGGGGAATACCCATACGAACACTATTGTCATGTGATGAAAATCCCTTACTTCGTGGGCTGTCGTATCTCTTTCGTTATTTCTTGACCGTCCGATTTTCTCATCCAAACATGTGTGGTCACCAAAATTTAATTTCTGTTAAAATCTAGGCTTCAATTATTAAACTACCGGTATATTAATTAAAGCATATAGTATATGGGTTTCACAGTGTCATTTTGTCTTTTATATATTGAATTCGAACTTCTTTAACAAAAGCAAAATACTAATCGTTCCAAATATTTGAACGCAAAGACACAAACAAAACCAAGTTCATTGCTATCCAATGTTTAATACAGATTCCCTTCAAAGTTTGAAATCTTCAAAGATATGCTTTGTCCCAGCTAATTAGTTCATTGTATTTGTAATCAAATGATGAATTTGATTGATAACTTGATTTTCTGCAGCGGTAAAGGTTATACCGTTGATTTAGTGAGCAATTACATGTAATATAAAATTTTATGCATCGAAATGAATACTACAATTAATTATTCTGTATACCGTTATTTACTTATCTTATATATATAGGAATGGTTTATAGATGACATTCAAACTTCCATAAGACAATGGTGTAATCTAATCGGTCAGAACTGGTGTTCGACAAACACATTGTTACCTAAAGCCAAAAAAAGAAAAAGTAGCTCAAGGTGCCTATTGACCATCTCCAATGGTCCTTCAAATTTTACTTTTTCCTTCATTTTGAAGATAAAAATGAAGAAATCTTCTCCAATGGTACTTCAATTTCACCTTCGAAATTAAGAAATGAACAGTGTTCCTTCAAATACTAAGGAACACTGTTCATTTCTTCATTTTTTGAAGGTGAACTTTTTTCTTACAAAATGTAACTTTAATTTTTTATATGTTTTGTTTTATACCCAAACAAAACTTATATGTTGTTTTTGTACCCAATTTTTTTTTAAACTATGGATTTATCCAATCAAATTATAAACTAAAAATGCAATAAGCACAATAAAAAATACAATAACATATATTAATTAAGAAATACAAGAACATAGCCAACTACAAAATTAAAAATACATATCTAATACTAAATTATAAATAAAAAAACTTAACATAACATAAACTAACAACTTAATAATCTGAGAAACTATTTTTACATCCATTAAAATTATTAAATTTTTGTTGAAATTTTACAATAAATAAAATAAGTAGGTGAAAACTTATAAAACAGAAAATTGAAAGATCTTATTAGCAATTAGTAATAACATAGAGAGATAGAATATATCTAAAATATTCTTTTCGAAGAAAAAAATGAAGAAAAGTTGATCTAATGGTTTCTTCATTTTTTCCTTTAAAAATGAAGAAACTTCAAAAATGAAAAAAAAAATGAAGAAACCATTGGAGATACTCTAACACGTCAAAGTTCAAACCTATTCAAGCTGATAACGAATTAATTTGATGAGGTCATGTTTTGACATTTTAATCAAGATAACAGTTTTTTTTTTTTTTTTACAAAAGATTTGTTCCACTACGCTGAATTAATGAGAAAATAAAACTCGCAACCGTTTGTTCAAAACAAGGAAGGACTTTGATCGTTTTTTCCTACCTATAAAAAATACTTTGATTTATTTTCGAGCTTGCTATTTGATTTATGACACAAGCAATTACATCACCACGGACATGAAAAACACGTTCAATCTACATGTATTAACATATTGGATATCGACCATGCACTAACTAAGAGATCAGTACAGAAATTAATCAATTATCACCGATTTTTTAACTATGAGACGGTCAAATGGTGCGATCACCATTTAAAGCAATGAAATGTGTAACATGTATGTACATAATGAGATGTGATATGTCCGCAAAGATAATGGTGATTGATTACACTGAAAAGATAATTGTGGTGATTGCAATCACGGATAGGTTAGCGGCCTCGGTTGGAGCTTTGTGGATGGCAGAGGATTTGAACTTTTTGGACTTCAGAGATGCCGTAAAAGCCTCTCGGCCCTCTATGTCGAGATGGATTGCCTCCTCTGGGCTATGTTCTGCTTGAGAGAGAGACGGATATCTTGGTCCACTTTCAATCCGACTGTTCGGATCTGGTGCGTATGACTGAGGTTCCAGCTGATTAGCCGTCCTTTAATGCAGAGCTAGATACCTTCCGCCTCCTTCAAGACAGCTTCTCAGAGTGCACTTTATCTCATATTCCGAGGAATCTAAATGTCCGGGCGGATAGTCTTGCGAAAGGAGCTCGAGCAAGAAGCGTTATCTTTTCCCAAATCGATCATAACGAGCTCACCGATGGTGGTCCACAGATCACTAATATGATGGGCCAAATGTGATTGTACTAGATGAGTAGTGGAAAAAAAAAATTATATATACATGGATCCACGATAAATAGTTTTATCTATAATTTTGTTCTCTCCAACTTTTTCATTCTATTTCTCTAGTTTTTTTTCAGTATTCCTTTAATCTTATGTTTAAAGTGATAAATATAGTTGAAAATGAGCAAAATTTCCAAACTCCAACAAAATTCTAAAACAACCTAAATAAAATAAAAAAATTTATACAAACATATTTTGAGCCGAATTATTCTAAACTATTTAAAACTAAACTGAACCAAATTCATGAAAATTCAACAAAAAAAAATTTTTATGAAATAAAAAATATTTAATTTATACAAAATCTACAAATTTAATTAAAATCAATTAATTATTTTTTTGTTACTATAATATTTTGTCAAATTCCAAACCAAACCAATAATTTTATCTCAATGGAATATATTTTCTAGAACAAAACCATTAAAATCTGAAAAACTCGAGATCCTAATAATCAAATACCAATCTTTAAAATATACATAGTCACATTTCTCTTAACTTTCTCTAGATTTTATTGCTTTACAGATTATGATAAAATAGTTGGAAAAAAACAAATGATAAAGTCACAATTTTTTAACTAAAAATGGCAGATTCAAAAATTGACACTTTATAATTTCTAAAATATACAAATAATACTTTCTTGTATTGCAAATCTTTTATATTTATGCTTCAAAAAGAAAAGTTAATTGGAGAAAGAAGAGAAATCCACAACACTTCACCCGCCTCTTCTCTCTCTCTCTCCAAGTTTTTCTCTCTCATTCAATGCCGGACGGAAACTTATCGACCTGAGATTCCGAATCTCGACGAGCACAATCCGCCTCCTTTCCTCGTAACTCAAACCGGAACGACTCGTCGCGAACAGTGTCGGCGATGTTAGGACGAGACGAAGATCTGAAGCGAACGATGAGCGGGAGAGGCAGTTTAGCCTCCACAAGTCACCGGAGTCTAGCCGGAGCTTCGAGAAGCTTCAGAGATACGTTCGCTCCTCCGGGGGACGAGGTTTTCGGGAGAAGCGACCGACGAGAAGATGATGACGTGGAGCTCCGGTGGGCGGCGATTGAGAGATTGCCGACGTACGATCGGCTACGAAAAGGGATGTTGCCGCAACAAACGACGGTCAACGGGAAAGTCGGGGTCGAGGAGGTTGACCTCACGAAACTCGCGCCTAAGGAGAAGAAACATCTCATGGAAATGATTTTGAAATTCGTCGAGGAAGATAACGACAAATTTCTCCGTCGATTGAGAGAAAGAACAGACAGGTAAGAAAATGGACAACATTAAATTATTACAAATTTCAATTTTTTTTGTCTTTTGGTCTGAAAAAAATTGGATTTTTCTTTTTTTTTTTCGTTGCGAAAAAAAAACAGAGTGGGAATCGAAGTTCCGAAGATTGAAGTAAGGTATGAGAATGTATCAGTGGAAGGAGATGTGCGTAGTGCAAGCAGAGCTCTTCCTACTCTCTTCAATGTCACTCTCAATACAATCGAGGTTCTGACATTTTTTCTTTTTTGTGGTAAATTTGTCTTCTTCGATGTCGTCGAGAAAATAGGATCTAAAAATAAGCTCAAAATAAGAAAGACGATAAAACCTAACTTTACGGCTTTTCGTGTTTTGCCATAAATATTTTACCTTTTTTAGTTTTGGTCTTGTCGGTCCAAATCATGTCATCTTCAAAAGTTTTAAACTTTTCTTTTGTGAGGTTAACTTTTGTGATGGCCCATCAATGATGAAGCTTTTTAGATAATCAATTCATCATTGATGGGCAAACTTTTTAGATAATCAAATTTAGTTGTTGATTTCGAAGCATTTATATAAAGTATAAACAGTGATGAAGATTCAGATACTTAAAGATTCTTCTGTTAT